TCGGGTTCATCCCACCACCTCCATCCCGGAGCACCTCCGAGGAGAAGGCACTCCTGCTGTTCATCACTTGGTGGCCAGGGGCTCGGTGAGCACCCAGCCAGCCCAGAGCCACGGCAGAGTGCCCATACGGGGGTGGGCTCCCCCAGCACCCAAGCCCCTGCTGCGGGGACATGGGGGAGGAGTTGGCTTACCTTCCAGGATGACCGTGATGGGGTTTGGCCGGAAACCTTCTCCTCCAGGGCACAAAGTCTTGTACTCGGCTGTGGAAAAAGTCAGTCAGGGGGGTGCTGAGCTGAGCAGGCTCCCACAAAACAGGAAGGGTAGGGAGGACCAGAAGAAACCCAGGAGAAATAGGCCACGAGGATGTTGACAGTAGTCCAGCTGGAGCAGCTGGACTCCCATCACATGCCAAGCCAACTCAGCCATCCTGTCTCTGTTTGCTCACCCTTTGGTGGGTTATTCCATGTCCACTGTCCTGCAGCCCACTGGACTAGGAACCAAGGATCCCAGTCTGGACCTCCCAGGCACAGCCAGCCTGGTCTTCCCCACCCCACTTCACCTCGTCTCTGTCTTGGTCTCCCTGTTTAGCCCTGCACTGACATGACAGGATTGCCTTCTCCCCAAGCTTCCCATCGTGATGGCAGCATATCCTGGACCCAGAACCCCCAGCCTGAGCTGACAAGTCATAAGGAAGCAACCCTGTCTCTCTTCTCTGGTCTACGCTGCCCATCCAGCTCCTGTCTAAGTTCACCCCAGACATTTTCCCGACTCACTTGTGTTGGCTGGAGGACAGAGCTCGCAGGGGTTGCCCCAGGCACGTCCCAGCGAGCAGCAGCAGGATGCTCGAGTGACCCCAACACCAATCTCTGCGCTGCAGGAGATCCCCCCATCTCCTCGATCCTGCGTGTCCAGGAAGCAATTCCCAACACGGGTATCTGCATAAAGACAGAAGCGGGTCAGCAGAACCTCTCCGGTAAAGGTTTGTGTGCCCAGGAGGAACGAATGGCACTACCCCCTCAAGAAACAGGGCGAGGGGTAAGTCCTATCCCAGGACCACCAAGGTCTTGGATGGAAGGTGCTCTCTGCACACGGGTCCCCACTCACCCACACAGCCCACACCGGTGGGGTTCAGCTCGAAGTCCTGCGGACAGTTGCAGAGGTAGCTGCCAGGGGTGTTGACACACAAGCCGTTGATACAGTTCACAGGGTCTGCACACTCATTGATGTCTGAAAGGATGGAAAGATGAGGACTGGAAAAAAAAAAAGATGAAGACTGCCACAGAAACCACAGCCCCAGGGCTCAGGTCTGTACCGTGTGTTCAGGGCAGATCACCATGACCATGGTGTTTCTAAGGCTCTTCATGTGATGGCCTTCTAGAAACAGACCTTGCCTTGTCCTACCTCACCCCACCCCACCCAGAGTCAGAAAAAAGGAGCAGAGCCACACTGAGCTTTCCCTCCCAGCCACTGAAGGCCACTTCCAGCAGAGCACAGACACATCATCACGTCCCACAGGGACACTCAATTGGGTTTAGGCTGCTGGAGCCACTCTCTGTCATGGCTGGGGCAAGCTCCCACCAGCAGATCACCGAGAGGTGACCCTCATCCAACAGCCCTGTGGAAGTCCTGTACCTGTGCAGTTGCCTCCACTCCTGTCCAGCTCATAGCCATCATCACAGGCGCAGCGGAACATCCCGGGCAGGTTCTGGCAGGTCCCAAAGACACAGATGTTCTGGAAGGTGCATTCATCAATGTCTGCAAAACAGGGAGAGCTGCATTCTCAGGATCTGACCGAGTGAGGGCCAGGACAGGCCTCTCTTGCTCCCACCTCAAAGCAGAGCCACAGCCCAGCTGTGGGTAACCCATCTCAGGCTGGTTCCAGTGCCATGGGATACCATCTCCTGGGTCAGGAGCACCAGGCATGCTGTGTGTGTCCCCTCTCCCCTCACCCATTTTGTGGATTGTCCACATCTTGCACAGATCCTTGGCTTAGCCCAGCCTGTCTGCGGGCTGAGGACCAACTTCTGTAACTGGAAGAGCTAGCACCTCAGGAGCCCCGCACCACTAGGTGATGGTGGGTCTTGTTTAGGAATGGATCGGGGAGTGACAGAGCAGTGGAGAGACCAAGGCCAGAAAGGAAGTGGACACTGGGTCTCCTGGAGCAGCACTCAAAACTCGGGGCACTTACCCTGGCACGCCTTGCTGTCCTCTGTGGGATTGAAGCCCATCTCGCACTCGCAGCGGTAACCCCCAGGTGCATTGAGACACTGTCCATTCTCACACAGGTTCACATTTTCTGCACACTCGTCCACATCTAGAGAGAATCAACCATGAGACTGACAAGGTGTCCACTCCCAGATGGAAGCTTCCCTCAGTTTGCCCAGAAAATTCCCACCAGCTTGTTCCCACCCCTCTGCTGGGAGCCTGTGAGGAGGGAGCTGCAACACTTCTCATTGCCTTGATCCTCCCCAGACACCAGCTGAGAAGAAGGCGGATCTCTGCTGAAGGTATCTGAGCAGGCTGTGGTGCAGGGCAGGCTGCAGTGGCTTTTGGGCTTGGGGAACGCCAGACACAGGCAGGCAGGTTCTGAGCCAGGCTGGTGGCTAAGAGGGGGTGACTCCACATCCCAACAAGACGCCCAAGCCACGTTCCTGCTGCCACGTGAGTGTACGGGCCTCACCTGAGCAGGAGAAGCCATCCCCGTTGAAGCCTTCCCGGCAGGCGCAGCGGTAGGAGCCTGGTGTGTTGATGCAGTTGGCATTCAGGTTGCACTTGTGCTCTTCAGTTGCACACTCGTCCAGATCTGGGCAGGGAAAACACCCATGTCCGTGTTTTGCCTTTGGCCTTTCCTCTGATCACGGGCAGCCAGCGTAGGGCCCAGAGGGGCACGCAAACGGCCCAGCCTCTGGGCACTTGGAGCACTCAGGAGGCTCCGACGCATCTGCCTGAGCCACAAACGTCCTCCCCTGGGACGAGAACTCACCGTTGCACTTCAGCCCGTCTCCAAGCCAGCCTGTGCGACACTTGCATTTGAAGCTCCCTGGCACGTTGATGCAGGAGGCGTGCATGTCGCAGTTGTGAGCCCCGATCTCGCATTCATCAATGTCTGCAGGAAGGAAGGACATTGTTGCTGACTCAGCTCAGCTCCCGCAGGAGAGGAGGTGGCAGTTGGGTACAATCCTGCCAAGGGCTCTGGGTACCGATGGCTCCTGGGAGTCTGAACCCCCAGGGATGGGAACAAGGTGCTTTGGGGAACAGGATGCCTGGAGTTTTACCTCTGAGCTGAAGACCTCATCTGTGCTCACCCATGACAAAAGGGAGAGCAAGCCCCTGCCTTGGCTAAAAACTAGAGAAGCGTCAAGTCCTGCCTTCCTGGCAATCTCTGCCTGCCCAGGAGGGGCTCCCAGCACACACTCACACCCCTGGGTGTCCACAGCATCTCCCAGTGCAAGGGTGGGATTCTCTGCAGGGCAGCTGCCAGAGGTGTTGGCGAGGGTTCCCAGCAGCACCCCAAGCTCCAGGTTTGGGGATTTCCCACCTGTGCAGCCTGTGGTTCCCTTCTTGACAAAGTAGCCCAGCTGGCAGTGGCAGATGAAGGAGCCCTTTGTGTTTTCGCACTCGCCGTGCAGGCAGATGTTAGGGTTGAGATCACATTCGTTCACATCTGCAAGAGAAAAAAGACTCACTTGGAACACTGCAAGAACCACAATGAGACCCTGGGGCAACTCTCTGTAGCCCTTCCTCCGGCCAACAGCTGCCTTGTGAGGCAGTGCTGGGACGTGCCCAGAGCACAGCCCTGTCCTCACCAATACAGGTCTTCATGTCCAGGGATGCCATGAAGCCGTCGAAGCAGAGGCAGCGGTACTCCCCAGGGATGTTAGTGCACTGCCCACCGTCACAGATGTCGGGATTATCCTCACATTCATCAATATCTAGACAGAGGAGACCATTGCCAAACGAAAGACATTAGAGCCAGCCAACAGGTTTGTGGTGACAGGAGGGAGCCACAGAAGGGGCTTTGCTCTGAATCATGTAGTTACAGGACCCTGGAGCCTGTGATGAGGAGCTGGACATGGCAGTGCAAAGCAAAAACATCTGTCCAGGGAAATCACCTCTCTGGAAGGGATTTAGAAATGAAGCCAACACCACAGCTGACTGGCAATGGACACAGAGGGCCCTGGGGCAGCACCTAGGAGAGTCAAGCTGAGTGCTCACCTGCACATGACCTCTTGTCCGGCATCAGCGCGTAGCCTTCACTGCAGCTGCACTCGTAGCTGCCCTCCGAGTTGGAGCAGTGCGTGTCGCAGCCGCCGTTGGTTATGGTGCACTCGTCGATGTCTGGGGCAGAAGGGAGAGGTCAGGCTGCTCACGGGGGCACATGTCTTGCAGCAGAGCTGCTCAGACACAGCAGCAGCACACAGGAACAGGCTGGGAGAGGAGCTGAAGAGGAAACAAAGCTCCCCCAGGGAAAATAAAACACCTTTCGCCAGCCACTTGCAGCTCACAGTAGTTTCACAGCACCTTACTAGTGGCACCAACCTGGCTGTAGCTCAACCAGGTGGTTTCCCCTCTTGCCTTACCCTCAACATCCCCTGGAGCACTACAAGAAGTATGAGGCCAGGAGGGGTCTGGATGTGTGCCGGGGTGTTGGCAGGGCGGTTTGGCAAAGGGGAGCACTCACCGACACAGCCTTGCCTGTCCAGCGTGGCCTGGAAGCCCGAATCGCAGGCGCACTGGTAGGTACCGATGACGTTGACGCAGCGTCCGTTGCGACACAGGTTGTCACTGAGGGAGCATTCGTTGATGTCTGTGGTGGGAAGAAGGGTTTTGAGGTGCCAGCCAGGCTGACGCCACACTGAGCATCCTATTGGTACCCAGCCCTGGTTACCCCACCTACTGCTGCCTCCCAACTCAGTTTGTCATTGCCCCGTCAGTCAGTCTCCAGAGAACAGCAGGTAGAACAAAAGACATCAAAAATGCAGTGAGAGCCTGGCTGTGACCTTCCTGGATGAGTGTGTTCTACCCACATGTGGGATTGGAAGGAGAGGTTCATGTGCCCAGCACGAGATCCAAGTCTCGCTACCCTTGAACAGGCTCAGCTCCTGAGGCAGCTTTCCATTATCTCACCTACGCAAGTGTTCCCTTCGGCCGTCAGCTCGTGCCCAGGGGGGCAGATGCACTCAAAGCTGCCGTCTGTGTTCATGCAGATCCCACCTCGGCACAGCAGCGGGTCCCGCTCGCACTCGTTGATATCTGTGGAGAACGATATGAAATGTGGTGGGTTGTCCCCTTCAGCTGGGTTTTCCAGATCGTGGGGTGGCGGTGCTGGTGCCGTGCACCGGTCTCATCACCAGGAAATAGCCCAAACCAGAGGAACATCACAAAATGCAAATCCAGGGCTTGGGTAAGTATGCATTTTGGGAAATCGCAGCTCTTGCCTTGACTTCTGCAGAACATGAAGTGTAACATCAGGAGGAAAGAAGTTACTAGTTTGTGTAGATTAGCCAGCAAGGACTAGAAGGATAGTTCCTAGCTCGCATCCCACTTATCTCAGTACATTTTCACAAGTCTCATCAGCAGAGGAAGAGTTCCTCAGAAAATGAGTATTTTGTGCGACAGAAGGCCAACAAACAGGCTTTCTTGGTAACAGCCTCCAGAGTCGTTCCAGAATGACACACGGGAAATAGTCTGTACATTTCTGAGAAAATCGCATCCACAAAGCGATTGAATTCAGTAGGAACCGGAGAAATTCCTGAAATAGATTAAACTGCTGTGAGAGAGATGTGATCCAGCCAAAGAAGAAACCAGGTTGCTGGCATTAAACAAGAAAAATAAAGTGATAGAAAAGTTTATAAATGCCAGACTAAAAAAACCAAACAAGCGAAACTACTGGAGCGGTGCGCTGGAAACAAAAACCAACAGGAAGAGGAGGAGATGAAACACTTCAGGTATCAAAACTGGGAAGCTTTGTTATCAATTCTTTATCCATGCCCCCCTGAGAAAGCTCTTTGTGTTCTACCATGATATTGCACAAGCATCAGTCTCTGTGATACTTGCGATGTTTCTTTGGAAAGGCAAGTGCTGGATGAATCAGATCCTCTAACTGGGAATCCGAGAATGAGGTTCTCTATTTCGGTCCCAGAACAGATTCAAAAGATTTTGTATTTTTTTGCAGTGCCCCTAGAGTTGACTCAAAATGCCCCATAAGGGAGCAAAAAATAAAATAAAATAAAGGAAAGCCTCTCTGGAGCTGCTCAGAGGGTTCCTCTATCCCTAGTTGTATTCTGAGAAATACACATTCAGCTTGCAAAGGATTTGGGTGTAACACAAATGAATGGAGTGAGCTAAAAAAACCAACCTCAAGAACCCAACATCACATATATGAAAGAAGTTCACAGGCCATCAGTGGGCACTGTGACATTCTCAGCATCTCAGCAACGGAGGAGGAGGAAGGTGACCTGCGTGAGCTGCGGTAAGCCACGCTACAAACCGTATGGAAAACACAGAAAACCACGCCAGGGGCGGGGCGGTGACGGATTTTAAAAGAGCCCAGAGGATCAAATACGAAAAATAAATAAGCAGGATTGAATCGTGCCACAGATTGATGTGGTTTGGAAGTCCAAGCCAAAGCAGAAAGAGCAGAGCAGGTCAGTCAGGCGAGTTAGTCTGGCTAGACAGACGAGAAGAAGAACATGGTATGCCAGGAATTAGAGGACAGCAACAGTCTGGCTGACTTGTCGGAGACGAATTGCGGTACTGAGGTCATTGATGGGATTTTTTTAAGCTACACAGAAGAACGATTAAATTGAAAACAGATGAGAATCTGACAGAATAAAAACAAGCCCTGGCCAGATGGGAAGAGCTGTAAAGAATTATCTGTGGCAATTAAACGGGCAGGTGAAAGGGTGGCCTTAGAGATATCACTGGAAATAGAGTGGGGGAGAGGAATGCAGGTGGTTTACCAGAACTTCTCATGAAGGGCTTGATCCGTTTGGGGAGCTGGAGGGGGGCCGGATCAGTGGCTGTGGTTGGTATGAAACTGCTGCAGTTGATATGAAACAGCAACAGTTGATTAGATATCATATATTGGATGAATCAGCAAAATTCAGAGCTAGAAGAGACATAAGCTATCAAATGGTGAACCTCTTGCCGACCAAGGTCTATCTCCATGTTCTCAGACCAGTGAAGGCATTTGATTTAATGGCACATGGCTGCAGGGTGTACGATGACAGCAGGAGGCCAAGCAATGCCATAAGGACCAAAGCTTAATGTGTCTCCTAACACAGGAGTGGAAATAATAGATCTACTAATCTCAGCAGCAATCTAATGATGATACAACTGACAGCTACTTGCAAAGAACATCTATTATCTAGAAAAGGGACCAAGCTACATGTAACTGGATGTGGCATGTGAGACAAGTGAAGAAGGTAACTGTGGTGTCATGGATAGGGTGCCACAGAAGAAGACCTCCAAGTCGAGAAACATTCTGCAGCGGTGTCTGAAAATATGTGGTTTAATGTTAGGGTTGAACATATGATATTACTAATGTCTGGAGACGGGTGTAAGTTTAGTGTGGATATGTAAATAATGAGTGGCAGAATAAAAAATAGATGAGTAACACAGGCTGAAAATAAGTAGAAGGAGATGAGATGTCACAAAAAGGAACAGCCAAGAGAAGGTGTATGAGAACTGGAGCTCACGGCCATTGATTCAAGCTGCTGGGCTGGCAGAGCTCCACTGTGTAATAGCCAACCCGCAGGATAAAGGTTGTCATCTCCCTAATACCAGGGGTGGGTCCTGTCCCAGCTCAGTGGCAAGGCCAGGCTCAAACTCCAGCTGCTGGAGACTGAAAGAAGAGGACAGGTTAGCAGCCGAGGTTTGGAGCACGGGAAGGTTCAAGTGAAGGAACAGTACAAAACAAAGAAGAACGAACATTGTACAAGTGTTAATAACGTCCTCCAGCTTGGAGAGCCTTTGCCATGTCTCACGAACCCCTGACTCCACTTTGCTGCCCTCCCAGGGGTTACATCCGTGTGCCCTCAGCTACGCACACGGCATCCCTCTCTCCACACGTGCTGCTCTTCAGCCCAGCTCTGCCTTTGCAACCGGAGCAAAGCAGAGGACTCACAGCCCTGGGGAGAGCAGAGGCTGCCAGGGCTCTCTGCAGCACACAGGCTCCCACAACCCTTCCCCCAAGGGCAGTGACTTGGCTTGATCCCAGGGAACAGAGAGCCAGGCAGACAGGTAGCCGGACAGCCAGGCGCACAGAGAGCAGCCTGGCACAAAGCCCTTTGTCAGATCTGGCACCTGTTACTTTCTCCCCTGTTGCAAAAGAGGGAGGGTGCTGTCCTGCCCCGGAGACGAGTCCTTACCCATGCAGTTCTTCATCATCATGAAGCCGCTCTCGTAGCCTTCGAAGCACTCGCACTCGAAGCTGCCCGGCGTGTTGACACAGGTGCCATGGCCACACAGGTCTGGTGAGATGCGGCACTCATCGATGTCTGTGGGGATGAAGAGCAGCTAGTGGAGGCAGGAGAGACCACAAACATCCCTGCAGCTGACACCAGGCTGCCTGTCCTGCACATCAAATTCAGTGAACGAGGGCTGGCAAGTCTGACGCAGCAGACCAGGGAACTCCTCTTCCTGAAGGAAGAGAGAGCACTCAAGCTTTCTCTCTGCAAGACTGATCCTTCATCCCAGAAGCAGGAGAAGCTTTCTGCTCATGGTCCTGCCCTCGGCTTCTCAGCACACCCCTAAGATCACTGCTGTGACTCCTCTGGGTACCAGCACCATGCTCAGCATCCCAGAAAGCAAGCAAGGCAACAAGACGGGCAAGGGTGGTCTGGAGGAGCG